GCTTTTTGGGAGCCCAGAGCAGGGGATTGACGTCTTGCTCAAAATGGTATCTGGAAATTGTGAGCAGGGCGGAATGCCAGCGTCATCCTTTTTGAAGCTCAAAGTTTTTTCTTTGACGCTAAAAAGAGCGGTGGAGCGGCGGAATGTCAGACAGGAACCAGGTACTAAAAGAGGAACAGATCCAGCCTTGGCTTATCCTCCCTCGGCAGCCAGGGCAGGGAGGAGGGAGGCAGCAGGACGCAGCTCACAGGGGTTGTGCTACTCGCCATAGTACAATTGACTCTCTACTCTTCTCGATCCCATGATCGGCGTTCGGTCGGCTATCAGCGTGTTGGCCGACAGCAGAGAGCCAGAACACCTGACGTTCGTGCCTGTCCTCTGTGGTGTCTCGGCTTCTACTTCGCAAACATTTTCGTTTACGCGAATTATCAAAACAATTTTGCCACTCGACTGACAGGTCGATTTGGTGCACTCAACATCAACCGTGTTCGTCTGACGAAGTATATATATGAACGCCTGCAAGCAGCAAATGATCCCGCCTGTATCCTTCGCGAGTCGTGATCAACGGTTCCTTGCGGGCTGAGCTGATAGTAGCCATTAGGATTGACCAATTTTGTCCCGCTCGAAAACTACTGATCGTAGGCTTTTACACGATGGCTGCGCTTGCAGAAAGTATGAACTCAGCCTCCCCCGTCCTCAGCGACGAGAAGAGTGGCTCTGAGTCACGCAAGACGAGCATTGAAGTAGGCAAGCATGTGGAGAGGAACATCGAAGAGGATCCGCAGGCCGACCGCAATATCTACTCTGAAAGCGTGGACGAGGTGCCGCAGGGACGGCAGATTGGCGTTATCTCGGCCACGTTCCTAATAATCAACCGAATCGTCGGCACGGGAGCCTGTACGTCATATGCTTGACGCTCGAGACGCGATCTCTTAGAAAGAAGGTGCTCAGAAGCTGACGAGCGATCATGTTCCGCTAGTCGCAACGACCAGCACCATTCTCGCGCAGTCTGGCAGCGTGGGCATGTCCTTGGTATATTGGGTCGTTGGTGCGATCATTGCTGGTGCAGGTTTTGCAGTATACGCCGAATTCGCAACTGCAATACCGCGTAATGGTGG